GCTGTCTTTGCCCACCTAATCAGTGTTTTGTTCCAAATGTGGCCTATTACATGACCATTGCATAGCTGAGATACTGTACTGATTTGTACATAATAGCCTTTTCCTGTGGTTGTTGACACTTTTCAAAACACTGCATTAAGATGGAAAAAATAGTGGTTCATCTGTGCAAACTTAAGGCACATGATGTAGGAGCGTTCTGATTTCCCACAACATTTTTGTATAGTATAACATCCTATATTTTTTTTGCTACAGGAGATATAAAAATCCATGTTGCTAACAAGTTAAAGACTTTCCAGACAAGTAGGCAGGACATTTAGGAAAGGTAATCTTTGGAGTTCAATAGCTAGGCGTATGTTGTCCAGCATATTCAGAAATTACCTGGAAGAAAAGGTGTGAATAACAGTGATAAAAATTAGGGATGATCTTGACTAAGGTGATGAAGACAAGGACAGACTGAAAAACTGTGAAGTCCTAGTGTCATTGTTTCTGAAATAATATAGTTGAAGTGGAAAATGCCACAAGAAGGACAAGATGCGTTCAGACATGAACATGATAACTTTCACTTGAGGAATGAGTGAGTATACTAAAAATGTCTGGAAAAGAGAATATTAGCAGTGAGATGATGACCTAAGGAATGATGGTATTTTCTAATAAAATAATTAGATGCATCAAATGAAAATAAGAGATTTGTTTTCTGAACAACAGATTATTTCTTGCCTAGTGTTAACTTAGAGTGTGAAACTCCTTACTCAAGAGTACTATTTCCAGAGTATATAAAAAAATCTACAGCGGATTAAATGCCTAAGTGAGTTCAAAAAGTATTTGGACAAACTTGGAGGAAAAAATGTTAAGGGGCATTAAGCACAAAAAGACCATCTTTGGCTCTGAAAGTCCCTGAGCCGCATACCACTGGAGCCTGAGAAATCTTTCTGTAGAAGCCTATGTTTGTCCTGTTGTATGTTTTGCCATAAGCATCTGGTATCAATTGCTGTTGTAAATGAGATACTTTGCTAGATGGACTCTTGCTATTGCTTTCAAAACTTTTTACTGCTTTTGCTTTACTTTCCTTTAAAGCACCTGGAGACAGAGTAATTCTTTATGGCACGATATTTTTTATTGTCTTGCAAAAATTGGCTGAAATTCATAATTCAGGCACACATCAAGGTAATTAAGACATATGGTATAAACATGCAGATAGGATTACAGTTGCATCAGATGAAAAAAGAAGATTGCTTTATCATTTGTTGTGGAAAGAAAAATAGTCTGGAAACATCATAGCTGTGTCTTAAGAATATTAATAGAAGCTGCAAAATGATGATAATTACATGATCCCCAAATGATAGTAAGTACCCACTGGAGGATTTACTGTTGTAGGATTAAATCTCAAATGACACTGGATATTTGGTCTCAAACAATGTTAATTGCTAGAGAAATTTTTTCTGATACAATGGAAAGCTATTTATTAGGTCAAAAGTCACTGAGGCAAATGTTGAGTTTATTAGTTTCAAAATATTTTATAGGTAAAATTTGATATATATGTAAAATGACATATGTTGTTGGTTATTTCAGAGAACTGTAGGGTTCACAGTATATGTTACAGTAGCAATAAATGAAAACCATATGAGCTTTATGTTCCTTACTGCAACCAAACAATCTTGTGCATAAACCAGTTCTCTGTTGTTGTCAGGTGTATATGTTTTATATAATGCTACTTCCAGCAGTCCTTGTGTTCTCTTATGGTAACCCTTTCCCTTTGGCCAACTGCTCAAACTTCCAGTTTAGAAAGAGATTTGCTCAAATGTGTTATAGAAGTTTGCTGCTTTCCTTTTTAGGGTAGTAGGGTCATATAATTTTGGATTCCCAAGTTTAATGTCATCTCTAGAGGGTCATGCTTACCAAAATAGGGCTTTTAATAGCTTTTCCTCCACTGCTGCTTCAGGGTGTCTTATTGTCCAGGAGAGAGAGATTTGTATCATATAGTCACTGATGCAGCATATACTGCTGCTTTATATTAGAAAAGATAATAGGTTTATTTGGAACATTACGTTTTGAGTTCTACACATAACGTAAATTTATTTGCCACCTACTCTTCGCTGACTGCTCAGAAGACCTTTCTAGCTTTTCAGAAGTTCAGATTTCCATATTTATACAAGAGTTTGTGGAACAATTACTGCTTTCTGTGTTGGCAATCACTCAAAAATACTGTTATTTTATCTGTATATGAAAAAGGGATGGACCAGCCATGGCTTTTATTCTGTGTCTTCCTCCAGACAAGCATATGATATATGAATGGTTTAATGGCAGTCTAGGTCTTGTAGGTTTTGGCCACACAAGGATTTTGATGTGTCTCATGTCATGTAGTTAGTCAGCCTGGTGTATGGAGTCAGATGTAGGTTATCTCCATAAGATGCAATTAATTAATTTATCAACAGTGAAGTGAATGTCTTTCTTTTTCCTTAAATCACAATAACCAAAAATTTAGAATTTGAAAATAGTTTTTATTTCAAAATTTGCCATCATTAAAATAACACTGATATTTGAGAATGCGATGCACATTTACACATAATTTTAGCTACATTAAAGTGCAGCATGCTCTGAGTGATGAAGTGACTAATGATTTATTCATCATTTATTTAACCTTCTGTAACATTATCTTGAATTAGCTTACTTGTACAAGAGTATGTCTTAAAAATAATAATTAAATCTTGATTAATGTTTCTCATGGCAGCAAATTAATGGAAACTTAGTATGTTACTTAGATAATAACTACTGTTGTTAAAAGCGGCCCCTCATTTGTAGTCTGTCTCAGAGAGGCTTAGGTTCCAGCATGGGCTTCTGTAAGTTATGCCACTACCTTTTTTAGTGCCATTCTCTTTTTCTTTAGATATTTACCTATTTACCTATAATAGATAATTAACTATTGTAGTTTTTTTACCCCATTAGCCTATATAGCTTCACAAAGAGTAACTAAATTCCTCTTATTCCTCACTAAAGGGAATGTTTTTCAATGCTTTATTCATTTTCAATTTCTTTATCGTCCTGTCCAACTTCTCATCCCGCTTGAAGAAGGATTACCAGATTTAGGTAACACAGAGCTAATTTAACTTCCTTACTCTCTCAGAGTTTCCCTGGCTTTTTATAAACTTTGTTGTCTTTATTAGATGTAGTTTTCCACTGGAAGCTCAAATTGGGCTGATTTTTTTCCATAATTTTCAAGTCCTCTTCATAGATGCTAGATCTTGTATATATGCTTAATGTTTTTGGTTTAAAACTTGTATCTATATTTTTATGGTTAAGCTAGTGAGTGATTTAGATTGCTTACATTATCAACCTGCTTTTTGTGTTATTTCCCACATGCCATCATGACGTCTAGGATAAAGAAGTAAACTGCATAACATTCCTTTAGAAACACTTCAGTGCAGTTCAGTACAGTTCAATAGCCTTTTGCCATTACATACTGAGATATGTCATTTAAAATATTTTAATTCAGTTAATCAAGTTACATGTTTTTATGGAAACAAATGTCTCATAGAAGTCTGTTTCATCAAAACTATTATTTTTGTCAACTGAATTTATAATGTCACCTAAAAAGCCATCAAGGTAATTTGATAAGTTTTTTTTTATAAATTACAGTTGATGTGTATTACTATATTACAGACTTCTAAAGCTTCATTAATCTAAGTTTGTGTTAGCTGTTTTATTATAGAACCTAAAGTAGATGTCAGGCTGACAGATTATTTAATGCTTTAAACTATGGACTCACAAACAGTTTTCTTTTTCATCCTAATTTTTTGAAACTTCCTTAGCTTCACTAAAATTAGAGCTAGTATTCCAGATAGCAATAATATTGTTGGCCAATGCTTTTAGGACTTTTTAATGCAAAGTATTCATCTTCAGGTACTTTAAAAAATATTAGCATTGTTGGGCAGTATATTTCTATCCTTACAGCAGGCTAACAAAATATCTCTCCTCTGCAATACTAGTGAGGTAATTTATTATCTTTCTTTTTTACTTTCTGTCTTTAGTTTTGCGCAGATGTCTTAGCCTCAGTGCAATCTGAAATTTCGTATGTGGAGATGGGGAAAACAAACGCTAATAAAAAGATAGGGCTTAAAAGGGGTTTTGAGAACAGGTGTAGTAAAAATAAAGACCAAGACAGTATGGAGAAAAAAGCAAAACATTTTGGCATCCAGAACATTGTAGAATGAGCAGAGTCTTACAGGGAAGTGAATTGCCAGTTGTAACAAGGTCAGTTTTTCTGCAACAATCAAAGCAAGCTGCTGCAGAATATTTTTCAGCCATGTGAAATGATGGCACTATGACTGCACTGATTGCAAACTTCAGACACTACATGGGGACTTCTGTCCCTGCATTGCTCTTGTACTCTTCAAACATAGATAAAAACTCTATATTATGTGTTGTCATGCTAAGGCAATACTTATCAGGAAACATAGTGTTTATTGTTTGTTCTCCACTATAGACAGCAGTTTCTTTCTGCCAATTTTAGTCTTGAGTGCTATAATCAGTGCTTTGTAGTTAAGAATGTTGCTCTTTTAAGTTCCAGCTCTATTGTTTCAGGCTGTTCAGTGACTCAGACAAATACCATTCCATCAGCCTGTGAAGTCTGAAAGTAATTTTTGCAATACAGGAAAAGATAAACATTTTTTTTCCCCAGTAGTTACCACTTTCATAAAAATAGTAGGTACTGCTACTGTCTAAATTCTAAACTGTCTAGAGGTCTTTCCCTCCTCTTGGGGCAGCGTACAGCCAGGGCACAACCAGGGGTATACAAAGTGATGACTGTTCTGTAGGATGGAGCCACAGGGGAGCTAATAATAGACAAAGCTCAGTCCAAAATGTAAAGAGAACAAATGTGTTGTTTATTGCTTTTTCTTTTTGGTTATGCAGCTCCAATGCACTTCTTAACCTGATTCTCTGAATATTGTTACTCCACTCACAAAACTGGAGTGTTTTTTACTGTTTCTTATTCATTCTTTCAGGGTTTGTGGATTTAACACTCCATGATCAGGTCCATCTACTGGAATGTGCCTGGTTAGAGATACTGATGATTGGCTTAGTCTGGCGCTCCATGGAACACCCAGGAAAGCTTTTATTTGCACCTAACCTATTACTGGACAGGTCAGTCTGCATGTTACTGTGAATTATTTAAGATTTCTTATTAGTACTGCAATCAGAATATTTTTTGGCTCATAGCCATCTCACTGATATTACAATTTGACAGTATTTTGTAAGGTAAGGAGTGTTATAGTAGGTGAGACTCAATTGCAATCTTACTTATTTGTAGAATATACATTAAGTTTTGGGGTTTTTTGTCCTGAAAGCTGGAGTCAAATATGTAAAACACACACGTGCTTGCTGCCCTAAGCCTTTTTTAGCCAGCCTTGCTAATATGCTGTAGGTGTTTCTAATTGAGAGAGAAAAATATGCATCTCTACCATAAAACAATATCCTGGATTTTAACTGGCAATCTTCACAAATAAAAGCAGGAAGACTGATAGATTTTTAACATATATTCTAGCTATCTTAATCCAAACTCAAGTTCTCTTTTTTGCCCAGTCATGAAAAAATTTCAGCCTTGGGAAAGAGTGTTAGAAGTGAATAACCAGTGAGCAGGGGGTTTGGCAAATGACTGGCAAATCTAGAAAAAGTTAAGATGGAGTCATCCTAGCTATTGGTAGTCCTCTTTAGTCTTTAAGACTACTGCCCGCCTAGCAGAGTTGGCAGGAGAGAGTTTATGTGTGTGCACTGGTCGTTTCAGTGCAGAGTTTGGCATCTCGATCTAAACTGAAGGTGGAGGAAGAGCTGAGCTGTGGAGACAGAGTATGTGATGAGGCAGCCAAGAGCTGGGCAAGCTCCTGATGCCATCACATAACTGTAGGAGCAGTGATCTACAACAGAGGGATGGCAAGAAAAAGTCAAGGGCAGTGCCTTCACCTGCTGCAACCATTAGCTGAGTGCGTGAATCAAAATTCTTATTAACAGAAAAACATCTTTTGAGCAGCTTGATCTGCAGGGTTAACTGTGGGGTATTGAGTATCTGTGCAGTGTTAATCCCTGCCCTCTAATTGCAAAAATGTAAGTTTTACCTTTTCTATTTTAGTGAAATACAAATGACAATGCCTAACAGTATAAAATATAATATTTCATAGGACTGGAGAGGTATTTACTGCTTTAGGAAAAACCTTATTCCACTTGAGTAAGCACATGATCTGTGAGCTATGGAACTAGATATGTATAAAACACATTGCCATTTTGTGTACAGAAAGTATCTGCTTGCCTAAATGTAAGTAAAGTCTTCTCAAGAAAACATAACAGTTTTAAAATAATTTCTTCGTGCACATAAGAAGTAAAATTTACTACTGTAGGAAAGTAAGTATAGTGTATTATTGAAAATGAATATAAATTGCAATATAGCTTTCAAAGACCAAACCATTTGTTTCACATTCCCCAGTACAGGTTGTGAGAAAAAATTAAAAATGGAAGAGCAGAGTCAGAGTACCATTTTTCTTCCTCTTAGCTAAGAAAAACAGCTAAGGAAACATTTGATACTTCAGTCTTTCTCAACTAAAATCCTCATGTTCTGAATAAAATGGGAGTCTAAGAATTTGATTCACAGTTTGAAGCAACTCTGCTGGATTAAAGAAAACAATTGCATGCAACTGAAACCACATATTACTTTAGGGCCAAAAATTAATTAATTTCATAATCAAAACAGGCTCTTTGTTTTCTAACTTTCAAAACAAGACTGTTTCTAAAAATATAGATCTATTACATCTTCTCATTTTCAAAGAATAAGAAACATGTTTCTAAGGCATCAAATACTTGCCTAGAAATATTTGATGAAACTAAAAGAATAAATGACTTGACTCTGGGGAGCACTGATATGCTAATTAGTTAATTGACTGTTGATTTACTATTTAATTAGTGCTAACAATAATTTGATGTGCTAATTTAATTTAGGCAAGTTGCCTTTTGAGAATGTTGTAGGGCAAAAGTATATTGTATGTCAGATTTGAGAGGGTGGGACAGAGACCGATTCAAAGCCTGTTTAAGTCTGTGAAGTCCTTCCACTGCATCAAGTGTTTGGGCAAATACCACAAGAGTGCAAAAATTGTTTGATGCATTATTATTGTTGATCTAGATAATTAAATTATCCAATTGAATGGCTAAAATAGTGGAAAAGATGGATGCTTTAATACAATTTTCTGTCATTTGTTCTTCTCTCCTTACCCTTCAGCGTGTTCTTTACAGAATACTTCTTTTCCATGTTTTCATCCACACCATTCTATCCTGAATCCCCATCATGCTTTCCCTGTTACCTGATCTACAGGGTTAACAGCATTTGCAAATATGAATTTAGCTACTGTTGATAATCCAGAGTCACCAACTACAGCTGGTAAAACCTAGATCTGTCTCTAACCTGTGTTTTTCTGGACTTAGTGAAAATTCAATATTGCTAATATGGAGTTTTACCTCATTTTGTGTATGCCTGTAGCTGTCTCTGATCATTGTGTGGCAGGCATCCTCCCTGATTTGCACATCCCTTTAATTTTTCACATTCAGGCTTCTCCCTGTCTCCAACAGATTCTTTCTGTCTAGAATCTTGGAGATAGATAATTTTCTGTATACGTCTGTACAGAAATCTCAGGTCACATCAAGTTTTATTATGCAAGTTTTTTATGTTTTGGATAGATAAATACAGTCTCATCTTGTTCATATCTGTCTGAAATGCCCTACAAATAACATTCTGACTTTGCTCTTTTTTTGAACAAATCTGATTTTTCTTCTCCCAGCTCACTCCTCCTACTTGGGTCATCTTAAACATGAGCTTGTCTTGTCTCTGAAGATCTTTCAAAGACTGTCTTTTCTCATTCTGTGAGAGTCTACTTGTACATTTTCAAATAAATACCTCTATAATTTTCTATGCAACAATTCACACTTGGAAGACTCCTTGAAAATATCTGTAAAGTAGCCTTTTGTTATTCATTTTAAGTTCCTTCTTAAAATTTTTCTTTGCCTGTAAAAAAATTATACAACAATTAAGCTGCCAGTATGTGTAGACTACTACCTTCTGTATGGATGAATATCATCACATTTTCCCCTTCTATTCCCACTCTGCCTTGTAATTAGAAAGGGTATTCTGTGGGGTAATGCATCCTTTCTTATTCTGTTAACACACTACCTAAACACTTGAGTCTTGGTTCAAAATCAGGACTTCTAGCAGTCTGCCAGTTACATGTAACTGGTATATTTTTACAATGTACAATTGATTCTATTAAAAAATCTCAAATGACAATAATTATAGATTAGAAAATTAGGCCCAATCAGGAAATACAATGACACTCTCACAGTGCTTGCAATTAATGTACAGTACCTGATACAATCAAGGAAAGCCCAGGATAAATGCAAATCTTTTACATTCAGGTTTTGAAAATTAGTATTTTGTATAAGGCAAATCTAGAAGTAAAGGCTTAGGTTTCTAATGGGACAAACCAGATGTTTCCTGTCTGGAGGGTTCCCAAGAAACTAGACCTTAAAAATGTCATTAGATGAGGGCTGAAATTTGTCAAGCCTGACATAGCTGTTTATAGTTTTGAAGAAAATGTAATGTTTCTTGAGGATTAAGAAAGTCTTATTATATTTTTAAAGGATTTGTTGCATTCAAATATCATGCTGATCAGAGGTTACTCAAAGGTTTGAAACATAATTGTATAGAAACTCATGGTAGAAATAGCTGAATTGCTGTCTGAGGTGGATTACTTCTCACCTGGAACATCCTCAGTAACATCAAAATAGGATATGGCAGTGCTGCATTTTAAAACTTTTGTTTTGAGCAGTAAGTCTGGTCACCATTGTAAGGAAACTGATGGGATACTCTCTAAAGAAGAGGGTTGGCTGAGGTGTGAATAAACGTGACATAGCGGTAAAGAGTCACTATGCATTTTGTCAGGGGAAGCCAAGCGTCATGAATATGTGTGGATGAGGGAGATCTTGTTTGATTTCCAGAAAGCATTAAACAGGATCCCAGTTTTATGTAGACAAATGTGAACTGATGCATATAGGAGGAGAATAATCCTAATCTTCATAAACTGCATTCTGAGTTGACCTTTTCATCTTCTTGTTAACAGTAGTCAGTTTTATGGAACCAGGAGTTCTTTGCTCACCAACGGTCAAAAAGTAAACAGACTGTATCTTTCCACCCAAGAATCAGTACAACAGGAAAAGGAAATACTACAGATCATTGTTATTCCACTGTTTAAATCTGTGTTTCATCAGTGCTTGGAAAAGCATGCCTTTCTGATTTTCCTTATTTTAACAGGACTGCTGATAAAACAGGAAAGGTACCCAGAGGGGTTGCATAGGCAATCAAAGAGGGAGATATAAGAGAAAGAATAACTTTGTAGACTGATTTCTCTGCCTGTGATGCTCAGAAGAAGAAGGGAAACAAAATAGAGATTATAGGGATTGCATAAAGTCTTGAGAATGTTGAGAAGATGTGTGGTAATCCACAAATCGTTATCTTTTCCAATCTAGCACTTGAAATAATCAGATCCAAATGCCTATATGCTTAGCCCAGGGCTAAATATATCTTTGATATGAGCCAGTATGGTTGTTCTTATGTTATTTTCTAATGTTTTCCTATCATAATCACAAAAAATGTCTAGCAGCAAGAAATCAGTCTAAGGACTTATAAAATTTCAGTTAAATGTAGCCAATATTTCCATGTTTCTACCAGATTATTTCCTTCTTTCTGTGGAGAAATCTAGTCCACTCTTCAGATGTTTTTTTTGTTTGTTTGTTTGTTTTTAAATTTGGAAACTCTTGTTCATGTTCTCTTTCAGTGCTTGATAGAGCTTTTTCATTCTTTCAGAATAAACTGAAGCATTTTCCTGTTACTGACTTTCATATTGAGCAATGGCAGGAGGCCATGGTTCTCTAAATTGTAGCTAGCACAAATATCATGAAGACTTACAGCATTCACCTCATGACTGGACAGCTGAATAATTTACTGCTTTCATGACTTTGATCTGAAATTTTCTTACCCCATCTGAAAAGAATCTTTTAAGTTTTCTGTGCATAGTGCTTTCCAATGTTTTGATAGACAGAAGTTTAGATTC